GATGTGACTCCTTTCCACCCATCGGAAGCAGCTTTAAAAATTGTCTCTGATATAAGGACGTTCAAACGGTCGGGCGACTAACAATAAGTGCAATCCATCGCTGAATTTTCGGTCATACTTGTATACATAGTAATTTGTACAGTGATTTGTACTGTGAAGCTCAGTTGGAGAAATCAAAAAAAAAATTGAAGGGCGTGTCTCGAAAAACGTTATGACACATACATTTCACCTTGGCAGATCAGGAATGTTGGTGTTTGCTTGTTCATGGACCACGGTGTGAGAAATTGATTGATGTATTATAAAAATATATATCGATCGATTAAATCAGATGGACAAACATACCAGCTTGGTCTCATAATTTCTAATTTTTGTGCTGGTCTACCGATTTCGATGAGGTGATTACTTTTTCACTCATCGAGACCAATGGTCAAAGTCAGGGCACTATGGTCTACATGAAAGTTCAGGTATACAAAAATTATACGACAAAATTTATACTTACATTTATTCCAAAACTAATTTCCGCTAACCCCAACTTGCATATCTATTAGAGAGCTTTACCAGTTTTCTATTGAAAGAACAGGCGATTTGAGTAGTGTTATTTATTTATCCAGATTTATTTTTCAGAATTTTCAAATCTTAATATTACGCACATCCTGGCAGCAGCTCCAACTAATGTGTTCGTCAAGCATATTACCACCTACTGAAAGAGCGATTCAAAGGAGAATTGTATTTTATTTACGAGGAAGATAAAATATAAATCCTTTCGGCGTTAGTCAACCCCGTTTGTAAGATGTGCCCCGCACCAGACTTTCGTTCAGAATCGTAATGGCGTTGCAATAAACTATACAATGATTTGCGATGACCAGCCAGTGAACGAACCGTGCTTTTATCCTCACAGATTAGTCTGGAACTAATCAGTCGATCCTATGGAACGCTTGGCCGGCCCAGAAGGATACTGGCCCAGAGCTCGATCCTAGGATCGCGCATATATGACAGTTTTTGTCCACTCTGACCATTATGTTGTTCTAAAATATATATATATATCTTTGTGATGATCTAATATTCATAAACATTTGTAGAATACCTTTTTGTTTCATTATCGAGAAACGTTTGATTGATGGGTTTCAACTCCCAAAAAACGTGTATCACCTCATCTCTGCCCCACGCAAACAAGGTGGTTTGATTCGGTCATGTCGTCCTGGAAAAAAAGCGAAGATGGCTCTTTCAGTAACAAAGCATGGTTTCTGAGATCTCTCTAGGACAAATTTTTTGCACTGCAGTACGACACGTACATAACCGAGTCGGAAAACGACCTATACGTGGTCAAATAAAGGCTCAAGGACCTGCTTCGTAGACGTACACACTTAGAAGTAGCCATGTTTTTACTGTCAGTAGAGGTGCACTCTTCACAACGGAGCACATATGTTGAAAATTGAAACACGTAGTCGTGACCTATAGCGACAGTTCGAAGCAATTCGTGGCACCAGGGATACTGTAGCGAACTTTCAAATGCACACGACGAAAATCTCGTCCAAACATACCTTTCTACGCTATTATCTCGTACAACCGTCACTTTGACTTGTTTTATGGAACCTTGGACTTCTATCGTTTTGTGATTTTTGTCACTTTCTTCACCACCAATGCTCCAAGTCTTTTGTGGTTCTACTAGAAAAGGGCACCTTGATTATCGTGAACTGTGCTTTCAGGTTTCCTCCTATTTTCAGAACCCTAATTCCATATTCTAACATCACGCGGTTTCCAATTTAATTGAATATCTCTAAAAAAAAAAGAAAAGAGTAGAGCGAAAAAAACCCAAGTTGAACTGAAATCTACGTGACAAAGTAAGAGGTGAATGCTAACAGCCGTTATATGGTAGTGCTCGTTTATGCAGATTTGTTTTCTCGGCTCCTTCGGTTTCTGCTACTGCTTCGGATCTGTCATCTTTGAGCATTTGGTTATCATTTATATTGCTAGTTGTTGCCACCATCACATTTTCCAACTGAAGTCCATCATGATAGACAGCGAATTAAAAGTGCAAAACTCTCTGCATTCCTCTTAACGATTGGACATTAAAAATGCCGTATGGTGAAAGATGTTTAGAATCAATTAAATCTCACCAACAATCGTGCCCTGCCATGTTTCATGGGACTTTAAAAAGTACAAAAGTTTATTCGAAACACCTAATTTTTTAGCTTGGAAATGACATCACTTCATAGGATCATGCATGCATTTTGTTGTTCAGAGCATAGAACTTCTAAATGGGGCGGTCTACGGAGCTATTAAAAGTAATCCAAGCCCTCGGTTCCGTTTTAGAAGTGCTCGGAGAGTTGAAGAAGGTAGTCATAACATAGGTGCTACCAGTAAGCGTCCCTCATGGGCCAATCTAGTCGTTTATAAGTAGTATCAACTGCATAAATCTGTTGGAACAGGTGAGACACAGAAAAGTTAGGGGTAGCTGAACAGGTTGCTGCTTAAGGTTAGTAATCATTGGTATGATAGCGATCAAGTGAAGGTGTGCGTGGCGCATCCCTCGTGCAACCATCGAGAGCTTTTACAGGCTGCTCTAGGTTAAACGGATCACAAATTGAGTGTGCACATATATCTAATGGAGCTGAATCCCACCTAAACTTAGTGAGTCTGGTGATAATAGCAATTTTGGTCTACATTTTGTATTTTTGATCGATGCATTAAGTATTTCTCAACAAGGCTTACCAACACCTCAAAATTTTCCTGTTTTCGGATTCCGATTTTCACGAAGTCTTTAGTTCATCGTATATGGTGCTGATTACCTGTACTCCTGTACTGCTTGCTTTAGTTTGCATCGTTCTGCCTCCTTTCCAAAATCAATTTCCGATTTCCGAGCTTGGCAGATCTACTCTGTTTATTTACTGATTTATAGTCGCAAAGCGGACGATTCAGTATTTATACGCTTGAAACAGTTAATGTAAGTTTCAGACTTAATGCTACCCCTCAGCTGACTGTGAGCGAGCCCGATCGTCGAGGTGTGGTCACAACAACTGCCTTACAATTAGAAGAAGTTTGACTCTTAGTCGCTGGGTAATACTCTCGCTTACTGGTAACTCGCTCTATTTTTCTCCCATATTCTACTATTTGTGAGTATTCCTCAAAATATTTCCCACTCATTTTCTTTCCAGTATCCATCGATTGTTCGTTTTGTATTGATCGAGGTTCTTTTGATCAACCTCAGCTTTACTTTTCATGACCAAATAATTGCACCTCAATTACCATTTCCAAATATACTTGTACTCAAAGACTATGTACTTGAACCCTCCATTACAGAAGTACCACGTGCGAAAAAAAACTAGTTCCCGAAGGCCCGATATTTTAAGGGCCAGAAAATTTAAAATAATGCTTAAGGTAACCAGCAGCTATAGCTACTGTTCCAAAGAGTTTATGGCCAGTATCTTTAATGGATATTTCCTCTAATTTTCAGAAGTAACTCTGTCGGCGCTTCCTGCCATCATGTTCCCGATTTGGATTAGCCGAATCAAGAAGAAGCATGAGATTCTGTGGAGAAGGGGATAATTACGGCATTCCCTAGTCACAGGGATTGGGATCGCGCCCAAGCCAAGACCAAACATTCATGAGTTCGTCCATGGCAGCAACTAACACTCTTATCCTGATTTTGAGTAAATACCAACACTCAACAAGAACGGATAAATACTCAAACACGAAAGTAGAGAATCACCCCANAATTCTGAATTTGCATGGGAACTCAAAAATCCGTAATTTTTAAACTTACTCCTCCCTAGTTTCACGTGCTGAAAAAACGACTCACAATGATTTGTAAATGGTGACCAACAACATTCAATTAAAATGTTTATTCATTCAAATGAGTAATAAATTAGTCATAATGCAGAGGAATTGCTTAAAGCTCAGTATGAAGAAGAATCCATCTTCAAAGTTTCAGTCGATAATATTCACACAAAACACAAGTCACAACAAGAAAATAATAAATGAAAAAGTATATGCCATTATTTGTCATTCACGCTTTGTTGGTTCAATGGCATGTACTGTACTCGCTGAGCTGTCGAGATTCGAGTCAGATCCACCTCCTGAAAATTTTTGAGCAACATTATGATTTGTAACAAAATACTTCGAAGTTAAATTACCAGCCGCGATTACTGAGGTGTAAGATTTCTGAAGTCTCGGTTTCTAAGCCGTTAAGGTGCAAATTGGTGTAAGGTAGCTCTTCCAATATCGCTAGGTCTTTTAGAGAGGCCTACACACATGTGTAGAGACAAAAACTATTCGAGTTGTCTCACCAGAACGCACCAGTTACTTACAAGACAAAACTCATGAGGATGCCGCGCGCAGTCGCGTTGCGGCTGTTAGTTTTCCCAGTCCTTTCATTGATAATTTGTATTGTCGCTGATGGAACTTCTTTTGACTTCAGCTAACCATTAGTCTATTCTAATTCGATATTTATTAGCTTACAACCCCTTTATTTACTATGAATAGTAGAGTAATTGCAAAAAGTGATCTCACCCGCGGATGGAGCCGTCGTTGTGTCCGAATGAGATGGGGTCAAGTGTACAACTGTTGTTAAACCATTCGCATGGGCTGACGTTGATGCTGTCACAGAAGGAGCCATAGATGCACCGAGTTTCTAAAAAGTCATTTTACAATTACTATCAAAGAATCGTTACAGAACAGTGAAGTTCCGGGGAGATCACACAGAATTTGGGCGGAGCGTTCCTCAGCCAGGAGTGGCTTGCCACCAGCTCTCCTTCAAAAGCATTCCACCCATGCCCTCAACACAACCTCTGCTTTTAAGAACAAGGATACTACCTCTGATCCACGTATTAGCAATATATTTTCTTACCGCAGCTTCACCCACATGATGATCTCCTTCAGGTGATGTTGTGCTGGTCTCTGCATTGTGGTTGAACAAGCCATCTGCGACTGTGGGATTCCTTCAAAACAGGAAAAGTCAATAATATCACAAAATCGTGTGTGATGACTTTTCATTCTAGTTTCACGAGGCTCTACCAGCGACACAAACTTTTCGTAGTTTTTGATCATCTTGTGGACAGATAACCTTTTTGATCCTAATCAATTTTTCAGGGCTTTATAGACACATGGAGGCTCTGCATGCTTTTTGATAGGTCACTTTTGGTATATTTGATAGGGGTTCACTTGCTTTTTATTCTCTTTCTTGCACTTCGAGGCACTTTGGCAGATTACAGATTAGTTTCAACGTCATCGAACATGCTTTTATGCACATAAATCCTTATTTTACCTCGAATCTTCTTAAGAGGACGATGATAGAAATAGAAACCTATCAAAACGTAGCGGAAGAGGTCAATAAAGATGGTATAATGGACCGAGAGAACAAGGATCGAAGGAAAACTCTGAAGTAGAGGTTGCAACGCTGATGAGTTTTCGGCAGCACTACAGCATTAGCTTTTCCTCTGGCCTTTCAGCTCGATCTTAGGGAACCATTTTCCCTAGAAAAATTGAAATTATGACTCCTGAGCATCTTAAAAGACATTCTGTTCGATTTCTACGATGGTGACTATCTGAAGCTGCATGTTTTTGAATGGTAGAGCACTTGTTTATGTGTAAAATTGGGTAATGTAGGGAGAAGAAGTCCAAATTCCCACTGATTCTAAAGCTGGCTGCATTTTTGAGATCCGCTCCAGTCCAACAGGTAAAACAAGCCTGTGGTTATGTCATAGACCTCTCAAGAGCAGTGAAAATCCGAACCTTATCCGAATCCGTAATTTAACAACTTAAACATACACAACCATTGCCCACCACAGTACACCAGACAGTAAATTCACATACCTGATGTAGAATATAGTAACTAATGTTCCAGCGACAAGAAAGACGACGACGCCAGCGACAACAATGGCCACTTTTGGATTGAGCAGTGACTTCAATTCAGGCATTATGGAACCTGCTGCTGAAAAGAAAATGCTCAACGGATATAGTCATTCAGTGACACATAGAGACCCATAGCCCGTGCAGAGAGACCAATAAACCCAGTTTTTGGCTTAACGTATATTTCTACAAGTACACATCTCTTGAACATGTCGATGGCACTATAGGTTTTCACGAAGCGATTTACAGCTATTTTGGAAAATATCGGCCCTTCAGGGCATAAACACAGCAGTAGGCACATATATCGCGATATCGTCTCAAATCAGTGGCGCTGCCCAAAACCCGTTTATGAGCAAGTACAGCATGGGTCCCCACGCAGCGCCCCCAAGGGTCCGACAGTCTCTGGGCTAGCAGAAACCGATGAGCACTTGGGGGTGCCGCGTGGTGACCCATGCCGAACTGAAAACCCTGGGAGCATATCTTACGAAGTGGATGGCCACAAATTTCTTTTTTACAAGCACTCAGTATTTAAGAGTGAAAAGTAGAGTGTAGACATCAGGAAAGGTAGAACTGCCAAAGCAGGAGTAGGAGTCTAAGCGGAATTGTACTTCCCCTACCGCTAGAATCCTAGGAAAGATACTCGTCATTAATGACTTGGCCCGATCATGACAAACGAACTTTCAAGCATTCTTTCAGAATGGAGATATTCTACTTCACAAAGGGTTTGTGACACAAACTCTGTGCTGGGAGCATCACAGTGATGTCAAAATAAGATCGATTCAAAGTGGTGCCATAGGAAACACTACATGTTAGCGAAAGTGATCAGTTGATGAAAGGTTTTTCTGACATAACAGAATGCTCTCTTAATAGCGAGCCGGTCTCCCACTATACACGACCACAAAACTCACCTTATAAGTGCTGAATGAGCCACAGTCCATGTTTTCATTTTATAAATGGAGATCGGCATAGCTAATACGCCTATCTAATCACAGACGACAAATCCGTCGATGTGACGCAACGCCACGAAGACAAATCCTTCTGAAATCCCCTAACTACGACACATGAGAATCTCTTTTTCCAGCACCTGCGAGAAGAGATTTCCAGTCTATTATGGTGAAGCATTCTGAGAACATTCTAGAACGATCACTTAGAGAACCGAAGGGCAGAAAAAGGAGGCACGGACGAACTCGAGTAAAGCTGGTACTACCAATCCCAGTCAAATTCCGATCTTCCAACTTCGTCTTGAGGACTGAAGTCACCAGATGAACATTGTATTGATGAAACCTGAACATGAACAGGGCTCCAGTGACTGGGTCTGGGAGTAATTCTTGCAAGTGCATAACTTTTCGATACAATCATAAAAACAGTTTATAGAAAATCTTGAAAAACTTTTTGCTGTCAGCCTAAACTAAAGAATCAGTTCTATGGAATGGAGAGCAAAGAAAATTGGAAAAAATTAAGGAAATGATCTGTGAATTCACCAAAAGCAAACCGGCTATCACTCAAAATATTTACGAAACGGTAACCGTTGGCTATTAGTCTTGGTAACCAGTAATGAACAAAATCGTGATGTAGTAATGTTAAAAGGGAAGCTGAGCTCGGCTGAGAAGTCTTTTCTTTGCCGAGTACAACCTCTACACCAGGCACCCTCAAGTGCGCCGTTTTCTACACGAATAAGCTGAAAAGAAGGGGTCAAAAAGTCCCCGACCGGGACTACTCACTAAACTTTCGACCTTAGTATGAGAGCTTCACCAAATGAGGGTTGGATATGTTGCAAGTATCATTGGCCCCATAGGAATTGGGCCTAGAATGAAGGTACGCTATAGAAAATCAATCGATAAACCGTCGACGAAATCCTGTCGTTTTCCCAAAAATTCTCCCGTTTTCCCGCGCCATATTGAACCTGTAGATCTCATGATCAGAACGAAAACTCCAAATAAGTATTTTCCTTTGGGGTATTTGGAGGTGTCATCATTACTGGTAACAGCTCTTCCGATGTTGAATAAGCTGACTCAAAATTTACAAAATTATCTCGGTGCTAGGAGCGATTATTACAAAATATAGAATTTCGATAATTCTGGATCAGGTAGCTCAGAAATTTGGCGGGATTTTACAATTCCACCTAAGGCAATCGAGCAGTACGTTTGTCATTGTTTCATCGTCTTCCTCCGGAATCGGCTGGCCTCAAGCCTTACCCAGGCTTAATAGGGCACTCTCTCCTTTCCTTGCTAATCTCTTACCTTAGTTTGTCACCTCTGGACCTTCTCATTGCCATTTTCCATCTTTGCCCGATTGTTTTTGTCGATGTGATCTTACCAGAATGCTATTTCAGTAATTACTACCCCCCAATAACAATGTTTCGTCTCATATTACTTACTCTTCTGAGCTACGCGTTAGGTAAGTACCTCAACGGTTCCAACCCGTGGAGTCTCTCTGAACTATCCTGAATTTCCAGCGAAACCTTACCAACAAGCTGGTACTAACTTCTGCGCTGACAAACAACCCGGACTTTTTGCAAATGTGAGTTGCAGGGATTTTGAGGGTACTTTTTAGTATGAAAATCGCCTATTCAGGGTTGTTCTTCAAATGTTACCGTGTGTAACAAATTTGGAAACGAAATCTGGCTGTTGTGTCCATTTGAACTGATCTTCGATGAGTCCGTTGACGAATGCATGGACCCGAGATTGGTGTCCGCTTGCAGTGGCACTACTCCGACTCCTCAGGGACCAGTTCGTGATGTACAAGGTGGGTATGGCATATTGTAGAGCGGATTTTTGTTGTTAGGTCGTTTGTGTCTCAGTAAAGAAGGTAAAAGTCTGTAATGAGCCTGGAATTTTAATCCCGTCGTTTCAGGGCTCCCCGACAGGCTGTGCGAAGGATCTACCGATGGTTATCACTCTGCGACGGGTTGTTCAACATCGGTTGTGCAGTGCGTTGGAGGAGTGTCCAGGTGAGCGATTCTGACACCCACTTCCCTTTTCGGGAGGGTGCTCCCTGAGGGTTGTACCCCAACGTGGGATTGCGAAGACTGAACTGTGGCAAAGAGAACCATTAGGCTGACCTAGTTAAATTTCCTAGCGGCTAGGTGGCAACTGTACATGGGGTGCTCTTTATCCTCGCAAATCGGGACCAAAACTGAATTTATTGGTGATGGGGGTGCGCCGCCAAGCAGGGGATGCGTGCGTGGGCTGGTGCCGATCAATTCGTGTGGTGGCGACCGGCACCGCCGCGTGAGTGTGCTAATCAATAACGGGTTGATCTTTGGCAGTCCTTGGGGGCTCGGGGTTGCCCACGAGGTTACGAAATTGAGCGCGATTAAGCGAAATTGTTTTATAAGCGCAGTATCCTATGGAAGGGATTGCTCCTGGTAACTAGCTGTAGGGGAATGCGGAAGGAAGCAAGTGGGAAGTCGATTCACTACCGTTTTCTAAGGGTTAGGGTGATCCCACTGGGGCTGATTTAGTGCTTTTGTATGACGGATGAACAAAATAAACGTTTTAGGTTGCTTGAGTGTTCCGAAGGTGAAGTTTTCGATAACGCGAAGCAGGGCTGTGTTCCTCCAGCTGAAATGCCGGCGTGCAAAGCAGCCTTTGAGACCCAGCCGACGACCGCACCCAGTTCAGGAGCTGCTGAGCCAAGCGGTCCATCCAGTTCAGGAGTTGCTGAGCCAAGCGGCCCGTCCAGTTCAGGGACTGCGGAGCCAAGCGGCCCGTCCAGTTCAGGAGCTGCTGAGCCAAGCGGCCCGTCCAGTTCAGGAGCTGCCGAACCTACCACCGCACCGACTTCGGGAGCTGCTGACTCCTCTAGCCCAGCCAGTTCCGGTGCTGCGAACGGTGGGTGCATACTCTTAGTCATTTTCCGTTTTAAATCTCAGAGTTCCAGAATGCGAGGGTTTGGCTGATGGATTCTTTGAGAAGGAGCCATGCTCATCGTTCTTCCTCACATGTTCTGGTGGAGTGTCCCGAATTCTGACATGTCCAGCGAGCCTTGTATTCGATAGGAAGTGAGCATTCCGTTTTTGTTGCGATGGTTACCAAAAATTTGCTTTATTTTTTAACTAATGAGTGCTTTGAAGGTTATCGGTCTGTGAGTATCCCGAGAACGTAGAAGGGTGCGGTTCCCAAGGAGGTGAAGGTCCATCAGGTGGGGCTGAGATCTGTTCCAAGGACGGGTACTTCTCTTACGGAAATTGCTCGGATCTGTTCTATGCCTGTTCCAACGGTATGTTTACGGATTTGGAAGGGTACTACAGTAGTGCTGTAGAAAGGAATTCAACAATTTTTTATTTCAGGGCGCCAGATTCCCATGTACTGCCCAGCAAAGTTGGCTTTCGATGAGACCAGACAGCTCTGTGATTATCCGCTTGCTGTGGCCGTTTGCACAGAGCAAGGATCGGGTGAGGGTTCCGGCGAATCGTCTGGAGAGTCTTCAGGAGAGGGCTCTGGCGAAGGTTCTGGCGAAGCTTCTGGAGAGCACTCCGGAGAATTCTCCGGCGAAGCTTCTGGGGAATATTCCGGGGAAGGTTCGGCTGGCAGTGGCAACTTGGGTGCGACTCCGGTCCCTCTGAATACAGTAATGTATTCGGACCAAGTTGTTCAATACGACGAATATTCCAGTGAGAGCTATGTTGCATTTAACGAAGGCGTCGTTGAAGGATCTGCAGAAGCTTCGGGAGAGCCCTCCGGAGCTCTCAAAAATCACCCCAACCGCGGCGATAAGGCCCCCGGAGGGCTCTCCTCGAAGGCTTCGAGAACAGACGAAGCGTCAGGAGAGCCCTCTGGTGAGCTCAGTTCCGCTTGGTTTTTTGTATACGATTTTTTTCAAACAATTGATGCAAGCTTGTTTCAGGTAATGTGGGACAGGAAGCGCCAGGCAGTAAAACTCCGGAGGTACAGCAAACATGGGTAAACTTTCGGATCCGGCCGGAGTGAGTGCGTCAAATTATTTCGTACTGATAGTAGGTGTTTCAGGATGGATCATTAGATGTACCGAGCGAGTCGACAACTCCTGCTTCTGAAACTGGTAAGTTTTTACAACGGCTAAGTTATTTCTGACAATCTCAGGTTGCAATACTTTCAGCAATGGCCCTATGTAAGGGCAAGGATGACGGCTTCTACGCATCTGGGTGCTCATCGGAGGCGATCGCTTGTAAAGCTGGCCAAGCGACATCGATGCTCTGTCCTGCTCATATGCTCTTCGACGAACACAAGCGCATGTGTGACTATCCAGAGAACGTTCCGTGCTATGGAACCGGTGAGGTTGACGGAGTACAGCAACGTGAGTTTTGTGCTAACCAGTAAACGCTAACAGCATAGTTCGAACACAAATATTATAGGGAAATGCACAGTTGAGGGTCCTGTCGGAACAGGTCCATGCAGCAGGGTATTCATGAATTGTGTTGAAGGAAAGGTGAGAGCAGCAAGGTTATTAGGAAACACATTTGGTACTCGAAGAATCGAATTGTTCAGGCTTTCCAACTGGCGTGTGATGACGGCTACGTATTCTCTGTGGTCCACCGCTCATGTGCGGAGGCGTCAAAGGTGCAGGAATGCACACCAGCCCAATCACCTACAACGGAAGTCGAGAAGCCTCCAATGACCGAGCAGCCAGTGCCTCAACCAGAACAACCTGTACCGCAACCAGAACAACCTGTACCGCAAACACAGCAGCCAGTACCGCAACCACAGCAGCCAGTACCGCAACCAGAACAACCAGTACCGCAACCAGAACAACCAGTACCGCAACCAGAACAACCAGTACCGCAACCAGAACAACCAGTACCGCAACCAGAACAGCCGGCTGCTGACGATAAGAAGGCAAAGCCAATGGGCCATCCTAAGCCCTGGGGACCACCACCACCAAATCCATGGGGTCCTCCTCCCAAGCCGTGGGGCCCACCGCCGCCAAAGCCCTGGGGTCCTCCTCCAAAGCCGTGGGTTCCGAGTGGTGAGAAACCAGTAGCACCGCCTGCTAAGGGTAATGTCGAGACGAAACCTGGGTCATACTAAGTATTATACATAATTTAGTAATTTATAGATAGCAAATATTCACGCAGTTTTATGCATGTATCGTACACCGGTGAATAAATCCTGTACAATATCTTCTTGTATTCACATTAAGAATAAACACAAATTTAGCCGTGATTGGTCATAAACGTCTCATTTTTCATTCTATATAGCAGCTCATGGATTGGTTGGGACTGTAAAGCGGTCCGTCCGCTTGTGGATGGTCAAAGTGTCTAGTGAAGAAGACGAAATTGGGCACATTAGAACAAATAAGATTTTCACTTATGTGTTGAGAGTAATGAAAACTATAGTTTGGGCGTGGGAATGGTCAGTTATTCGTAGGATACAGTTGGGCGTTCTTGGAGAAATTGAAGTTTGTGCGAATAAGAACAAGTAAAATATATCAATTGAGGTATGTTAAACATGATAGGATAGATTTTCATTTCATCTCTACAGGCCAGAGCCAACATTAGTTGAACTCCTCTAGTTGAGAGAGCTCTCTTAAAATCTAAAAAATCAGGTTTCACTTGAACAAGTGGATTCTCAAAAAACTGACAGTAATGATATTGGAAAACAGAGATGAATATCTCTGAAGGGTCTGGTACGTTTAAGCGGCTAGGATTTTCGAATATCTCTGAAGGGTCATGTACATCTAAGCGGCTAGGATTTACCAAAAATTGATAAGTTTATAACGTAGAAAAGTTAAATTCAGCCGGAAGTGGGCTAGAATAGCTTCGATCTTTGCGGGAAGCCTATTTCTCTGGTTTTCATAGATCTTTGATGACCGAGTTACTGAACAGTTCTATCCCTACTGAAGCCAAATTTCTTCTAAGATTTGAACAAAAAATATGGCGAGTTCGAACTTTTCTGATCCCTCCGTTGATTTCCTGATTTACGAGGCTGCTGTATCTTAGAAAAGGGAATGAGAAATCGGCATGCGAAGCCCTAGTCCAAGTTGGTGAGAAGCTGGATCAGCTGTAAACTTTTAAGTAGAGGTTTCCGGAGTTTCGATTCAGTTTGTTACAAGTAAATGGAGGAATTCTTTATCTCCGTACATAGCTTTAAGGGAGCTCATTATTCCTCGGATTTAACTCGAGAGCCTTTTATGAGGCAGGTACACTCCGTTTGGAGCCAAAGTTTTAAGATTTGTGAAAAATGTTTACGTCCTTAGATTTCCGATTCCATTTCCTTTTTGAATCAGCGGATTCATGCTGCCGAGCAGCGCTTCCAGACCTCTATTACTGTTGAAACTCAGGTGTTCCAGTGTTGAAGAACTGGATTGTAAAATTGAGACGTAGCAGGTCGCTTTTCAATATAAGGTTTCACTTCGTTGGCACTCTCTGTGTTCTTCCCAGTAATGATCGAGTATTTCAAGAAAGAAGCTGGAACTGAATGCAAGGGAGATGGGTGCCGGTTGTGCACGGACGTAAGCTCATGACGTTGAAACCAACATGAAAGCCTCCCAATAGGCGGTTCGAGTTCGTCTGGAGTCAGAATTTGGAGGTGCAAACAATAATCTTTTAGCTCCTATTTTTTGCTAACCCCTCGTTTCCTTCTAGGAGAAACGAGATGGCAATAACCCACGCCTTCGATCAGCTAACATAAGATTAAAAAGTGTTGATTGGCACCAACAAATTTGAAGTAGTAAGAAGAAGTTTTGAGATTTGGATAGCTTTCAATGCAAGGATGTGCAGAAGGCACATTTATAGTAATTCTCTGCTCAGAAGGATCTTTTTTTCTCCAACGGAGTGCTCATTTCTCCATACAGTCATTGCGAAAACCTTCCAGGAAGATGGTCCTACTAGATTGAAGCCCAAATACCGAGATTCAGAAAAAAGAGAATTATGTTTTTTTGCCAACCCCTCATTTTCTTTTCTGACAACAGGACGAGTTCGCCAATGACAAAGCTTTCGATTGCCCGAGATCACACGGGGTTGATCGGGCGATCAAACGTAAACTTGTGAAGAAAAGTTATTGAAATCTGTATCATTTTTGAAACTTGTATGGGTACGAGACCTCTGCATTGTACTTTTTTTATATTCAAATATGTCGATGGTTCTTCATTTCTACTTTACCCATGGAGAACTGGAACCCTAATTCTGACTGGAACCTTTCTGAAAGACTAGCTTGCGGAAATGGGGAAAAGAAGGAATCTCCTCAGGAAAGAGATTCATTCGATAGCCTCGGCTTCTCTATTCCTAACTGTGACTCTGAATTTTAATAGAAAGGCTGAAATTCAACCAAAGACAGGCGGTATTGATTACGCTTTTATGAAGATCCCGTTCCCCTTGGAACCATCATCAAAGCTTCTCAGCCAGTTATTCAAGCTCACTAATGCCAAAATTTGGAAATTTGAGCAAAAAAATTTAGCTCCATTTTTTTTTTTTTTTGCCAACCCCTCCTTTCCTCTTGGTACGAACGGGGTGAGGCTGCCGATGGCAGCGTCTTCGATCACCCGGCACAAAAAGGGCTGATCGGGGCGGTCAGAAGCTAACTTGTAAGAAGAATTTGTCAATGCTCTGATTAATTTTGATGTACGAATGAATGAAACCCTCTGCGCAGTATTATACCAACGAACAAAGCTGTCTTCAATCACCCAAACCTACAATATTTCAAACTTGAAGTAGTGGAAGCTTATCTCTAAAGGCTTGAGTGGCGAGATTCACGAGAAGAATTTAACTCCGCCAAAATGAGGTCCCGTTCCTTGTCATAACTTCTCTTTACTCCATAGTAATCCACTTATGAGACAGAAAAACTGAAATTAGCACAAAACCACACTTATGTTATGTTATGTTTATTACGTTGCTAAGGCAAACGTAGTATAA